TTACTCCTTAGAATTTGTCAACACTCGAGGGAACCTTTAATGCCGAATCCAGTCATCACGAGTCAATCGCATCTGAGCGGCGAGCCATTCGGCACCCCAAAATATTTTGTTACTAATATTTTTGTCACATTTCACGAAAAATTAAATATCTTGATGAAAATAATTGTAGAGAAATTTTTGATCACGCATTTAAAAATGCAAAAATAGGGCGCTTAAATTTTTTTTTACATTAAATTATATAAAATTAATATTGTAATATTTTTGTTTTATTCTTTGTATTTTAATAAAACATCAAACAAAATTTAGTATTTTAAAGTAGGCTTTCTAAGCTTTAAAATGCTTTTATATTAAATTTGATTCGATGATGTTTCATCAAATTATAACGCTCCAACGTAAAACAAAGATATTGCAAACAAATATTGATTTTCAATTTTATGTAATTTAGAAACAAAATGTAGAAAAAAATTCAAACAGATTTAAAGCCCTTTACGTTTTAAAATACGGTCGAAAATTTTTATACAATTGTTTTTTTACCGAGATATTAACTTTCCGTGAATTGTGACAAAAATATTAGTTTATAGACAACAATATTTACGAGCGCGACTGTATTATTTTTATTGTATCCTATCCTATTAAAGAATTAATACTTATATATTTTTCCTTCAGGGTATAATGGAATCTTTTAACAGTCGAAATTTTGGTCCGAGAATTCTATTACTGTCACTGACTGCTGGCGGAGTGGGATTAAATTTGATAGGCGGAAATCATTTGTTGTTATTTGACATTCATTGGAATCCACAGTTAGAAACACAGGCGCAAGACAGGATTTATCGTTTTGGTCAAACAAAAAATGTTTATGTTTACAAGTTTGTATATCGTGTTTGATTTCTACTTTTTATTTTTGCAAAGTTCATTTTAATATCTTTTTGTTTCCATTTTTAGATTTATCTGTGTTAATACAATAGAAGAGCGTATTAAAGCGTTGCAAGAACGGAAACTTCAAATAGCAAAAAACGTATTGAGTGGTACTACAAGCAGAGTGGTTGGAAAACTTACGCTGAATGATCTCAAATCTTTATTCGGCTTCTAATCCATTTTGTCTTGTAATGACAGTTGATAGCTTTATATAAAATGTTTTATTTAATTATAATTATAAAATTGATTTTATTTTTAAGCATATATATATATAATATTTTCTGTATTAAATATAATATTTTTAAATAATTTTGATAATAATACACATTTTAATAAACAAAACATTGTGTTGTCACATTATGAATTCTCTATGGACAATTTATTATTTTCTTTCTATTAATTTTATTTATCTTTTATCTACGCTTTGACTGTTTTAACTGTTGACATGATTATATTTTATTTAAATTCTCTTATGTTAATATGTATTTATATTTTTTTATTTGTAAAGTAGAATGTAATATTTACTTTAAAACGCACTGAGCCATAGAGGATACTTTTTCAAGCATAACGAATATGAAATATGTTATTTGGAAGTTTTTTAATAGCATGATTTAGTCAATAAATTAAAGTATAATGCAATATAATAGTTTTTACTTTATTACATGACATTCTCCTAGTTACTTTATTATATTTATCACCAGTTAATTTTGATAGTATGTTTTTGTTAATTTGTGTGCGCTACATGCTGTATAAAAATATTTGCTGAAAGCATTTAATTCTTACTATGGAATTAAAAAATTTTAAAGGAAGTGTAAAGGATTTTATTTATTTGAAAAAATATAAATGTTTCTAAATAGAAAAGATGGCGATTAATAACTATATTATTTAAATTAAGCCCGACACATGTACATATAATGCACTATTGATATCGATAATAATGGGCGAGTTCAAATCGACAAAATGGCCAGATGTGCTTGCCGAGCAAATAAACATGATTGATTGGTCCACAGGTAAGAATTAATCAGGCTTATTCGTTCGACAAACATGCCGCTTTATAGCATAGTCGCTTTATCGTTTTAAACTCGCCTAATTTCTCTGTGATAAAATTTCAAATCAATCTAAGATACTTGTATTATAACTGTCTGATAACTAGTATAGAACTGTGTCTCTCTCTCTGATATATACAGTTTATAATATTCTTAAGTATGTACCATAAATATTAAATATAATAAAATTAAACAAATATAATAAAATTAAACAAAAATATTAATAACGCATGCAATATTAAATTAACTAATATGAATATTTTAGATCGTCTGTCAAAAATAGATTATGTAAAACGTCTATTATAAATTGTATCGGCAAAAATAATTGTACAGATATGCGTATTCAGATTCCTACCTCGGTGCTCCCCAGATGTAGTCATCCTTATTTAACATTCGGTAAGCAATAAGGATGGAGTGATATCCGGGTAACATTTGGGTGCGAATTTGACCATAGCTCAAGGGAAAATTACTTTTAAAAGTAAGTTACAGTTTTTTTTTAACAAGTTACCGATTTTATTTTTATTATTCTATTATTAATTTTGTTTTATAATTTTATATTTACAAACGATCGTTTTATTTTTTTAAGAGATCTTAATTTTTTTGAGATTATCCAATGGTCGACTGATATGGGGAAATACATTTTTTGTGTACTTGGAGATTGATCACTGGAATCTACAAAGCTTAAATTGTTACACGAAGAATGTAAATCATGACTTTAAGTTTACTATGCTGAAGAAAGCTAGAAATTATTTGAAATGTTCGTCTTATTGCAAATTACATTTTTTTAGTCGTTAATTTCTGTAATAATTTTATGCGCATTCTATTACAGTGTTGGTTCCTAATAACCTGTTGCTTTCCTTTTTGTTTTTGATTAATATATTATGATGTTTTTTTATATAACAACTACTTTTTCTCTTTTATAGATTCGAAAATTCTTTTTTTAGGATTAAAGTATACACATTATGTGTATACTTAAACGTTATTGTTATACGAATAATCCTACTTATATTATAACTATCATCTTTAGGGTCCCCTCTTAATTAACATTATTTGATGAAACAAATATTTCATCAAATATTTTGACAGCGCAGATAATGAGTAGTAAATAGTGTATTACTTTTCGATGTGCTCAACTCCCTTTTCTGCACTCAATTTTTAAAGTTTATAAGTTATTATAATTACATCAAAAAAATTCCAATGGAATAAAAAATTTTAAAAATAATATTATAATCAAGGTTAAAAACATATTTCATTTGCAAAAAGCAAAATAAAAAATTTTTTAAATAGAATAGAATTTATTACACTTCAGCATATTTACAGTCAAGAAGGGGACTTGGTTTACATAAATTCTTAATTCATTCATACATCCATACCTCGTCTGCAAGCTAGCGCACATATATTATTATAAATTTTTGCTTATCGCTTTACTTTCCTACTTTTCTAGTTAAACCTCTGTCTAAACCCTTTGACTTCGCTTCTTTACCTTATTATTTCATTTTATTTCTTTTCGCTTTTCTCTCTTAGTTATATCTACTTCTAATGTTATATATTCTCGTTCAATACATACGTTATCTCTATATCACAGTTTTATCACCGTCTATTATTATTATCACATATTTATATCTTACTTACTTACTCTTTAATTCACCTTATTTTCCTTTTCTCTCTATATCTTTCCTCTATCTATATATTTTCTCTCTGTTCTCTTTTGACTCTTTCCTCATCTCCCTTATTCTTTTTGCTACCTCCCTCTCTTTCCATAATTTTCTTATTGTTTTCCCTTTTACCTTATCTAACTCCCATTATACAGTTTCCTTATTTAAGATTTTTTCCTTACCTTTTCCTAATTTAGTAAATCTTTTTCTTATTTCCGAATATTCCTCTATATAGTGCTTTAAATTAAATTTTTTTTTTTTAATATTATCCTTAAACCAAGTCTTTTAAAATAAGGGACACTTCATATTTTGATTGCTTCACATTATGATTACTTTATTGAAATGTAAATTACTCTGTAAATTATTATTTTTTTAACTTGATGCATGCAGTAAATGGATCATAAAAATATTTATGATATAGCATAAAATAAATTTGTTTTTCTTTTTATTTTTTGAGAAACAAAAAGGGACCAAGTTTCTTCGTATTGATGTTGTTTCAAACAATATTTTTTGTAATGAAACTTAAACGATGAGTGGACTATTGAAGCCTTACATAAGTTATTTCGTTGTGAATAATGAAATCAGTGTAAAGATATTATTTACAAATTATATTTAAAAATTCAATCAATCGAATCCATTCAATCAAATCATCACATTTCGACCTTTACTCTGATCATCTTCAATGATTTTACAAATTTAAACAATCTTAATTGACAATTAATACGATGTGTTAAATCTTTATAAATTATAATTCTTCATTTGTCAATTATATAAAATTTTGTTTTTTATTGCCTATTTTATTATTAACTGTTCTTCTTAATGTATAAGTCATTTTATTGTTGTATCCAAGATTATGTGGAACATAACGGATCCGAGGCTTTATGGATCCATATCCATGTACTCTTACATCAATTAAACATGATAGTGAGATTGTACTATAAAGTGAATTATAATTTTTAATTATTTCTTATCTTATCACATTAAATTGTCGATATTGCTTACCTAATTCTGTCGTCGACCTAAAACGTTGTTTGATTGAATTTTTAAATATAATTTGTAAATAATATCTTTACGCTGATTTCATTATTCACAACAAAATAACTTGAGTAAGACTCCAATAGCCTGCTCATCGTTTAAATTTCATTATTGAATTTAATTGAGCCGTTTTTCTATTGTAATATTTTTTGTTAATAATATTAATTTAAAGGATATAATATATTATTGTATTATTATATTATTATATGATTAATTTTATTTTAAAACAAATGATAAGAAAGTTATTTTACAATTATAACGTTTACATAAATACATAAATGAATTTATTTAATTATACAAGCATATAAATAGGCAAATATGATATTATAGAGTATGTAATGTTTCATAATTATTTAAGAGGAAGTATAATATTCTTCGGTAGAGTAACCTCTATTATTTGTTGAGGTAGTGGAGGATTCGAAGACTGAACAAAGAAAGATATATTTTTATGAGATATTAAATTTATAACACCTGGAGGTACCTCAGCTGTTGAAAACATATTAAAATATGGTGTTATATTGCACGAATTTTTAGTATATAGTAGAAGAACACAATTGCCAAAATATAGAGATACTGTTAAATAACTAAACAATACAACTTCATCAATATGATAGATAGGAATTACACCTCCTGGTGCATTAATGGTGATTAGTTCCAATTTTTCATCTGAGGCTAACGTATGTTTACGCATCTTACTTAATAATTTTGTACATTTTGATACTGTCTTTGCTAATAGATATTTGCTAAAGAAAAAAAAAAGAAACTTTTGTTAAAAATGTTATTAAAAGTACACGAACACATAAATATACAAAAAAATCTATAGAAATATATGTGCATAGACATTTTTTAGTAAATTAAAATATATACCCATTGTATTCTAATGTATATGCAAGATTATTTAATATTTCTATTCTAGAATTAAGAGGCAAATTACTCCAACTTTTAAACGCTTCTAAAGCTGAATCTGAGGCTCTCTTTATATCTGCTCTGCAATAAATTATTTAAACACAAATTTATATAACGTAAATTTCTTAAATTTCAATATTATAAAATAAGAAGGAAAGAAGAATACATATATTCGAACCTTGTTGCGTGTGCATATATATTATCATTATGTATCCAGTATGTATCACTTACAGGCTTTTGCCATGTACCATTATAAAAATGATTGTAAACTGAACTTGTATATGCGTTCAAATTTATTTTATCTTCATTTTCAAGTATATATTCATCATTATTATATAAAAAGAAATGAAAAGTTCTAAACACTGTTTTCTGGGAAGGAAGCTTAATACCAGTACCAAACTCGAAAATAGTATTTATGAATATAAGATCCTTCTGTTCAAAATAGAAATAATTTTAATAAAGTTTTAGATAGTTTAAGGCAATTGCATTACATCATTTAAGTTATATTACTTGTAGTTTCATTGCTAATGTTTTTGCAGATATACTGTCTTCTGACCATATAGACACCATATTGAAACGTAAGGAACAATCTTTGCAGTTTGTAAATAATTCATTTCTTGAATGAAATATAAAAATAGGCAATCTTACGCATAAAAGAAGTTTAAAATTTTTTTCTAGAAGCCATAAAAATTTCTGTTTTACTGATTCTTGAATAAAAATTTTCTTTATTTCTAACAGAAAACAAGGTTTAATCTTCAAATAGGTAATAATTGCATGTAAATCTGAATCTTCGAACACAATCATCTCTGCGGTGTAATCTGTAGAAATTTAAAAAATCTTAATTATGAAATTAAGAGAATGTTTTTTAGTTGTAATATGTTAATGTTTTAAATATTATGTTTACTTGAAATTAGTAATGTTATGTCATAAAATTTATCTGCCAGAACAGAATTATCGCTAAAAAAACATATAAATGTTTATAAAACAGAACATAATGTTACCTTCAACATAAAAAGTATTAATTAATATATTTATTATAATAAATAATTTAATAGTACAAATTAATTTAATAATATAAATATTTTTGAATAATTACATAATAGCCTTTCTCAAAAATGTTGAAATCTCGCGTTCTTCACATATAATCAACATTAAGTATATTATGTTGAAATCATCAGTATTGTATTTCTCGTCTAAAAACAGAAAAAATATTTCTATAATAATTCAATGTTTCATTTTGTCATAAGCTGTTTTATAAAAATAATATGAAGAATAAAGAAGCAAATTCGTATATATATATATATATATATATATCAACATATCAATATATGTGTACATCATAATTGTATAATCACTAGAATATAATAAGTATCGAACTTACTATTAAACATCAATTTTGTTCCGTTAGCATGCAAATGATCAAGAAGAGTAGTAATAATATCCACATGGTTACAAACAGATTTGAAAAGAGATAAATTCTTTTCTATTACAGAAGCTGTTTCAAAGTATCTATAAATGCGAAAAAAGAAAATAAATAAAAAAAATATAGAAATAGCTTTACATTTTTACATCATTCTTAATTTAGAGATAAGTATTTATGTACTTACCTATCGGAAAACTTATTATTATTCTTAAATTTCAGATTTTCGTGTAAAGTGGATATCTTGTTCAGTGCTTCCTAATACACACATAAAAAAATAGTACGAAGCATTACATACGATATAGATTATACAATTAAGCTCATCAATATTCTATTTTACAATTTCTCAATATATTATTCATATTTATATTCACCTCTTTGTTGATCTTATCATATATTAAGATTTTGTAATATTGATTTATAGCGCTTATTTGCTCACACATTTTCTTGATTATTAATCAATTTCCAGCAATATTAAAGAAGAAGTATATGTGTCTCGTTATCTTCGAAAACAAGTGAAGATGATTTTATGTAAAAAGAAAATGTTTTGATTTAAAGTAACCAGTTGGTAATTAGAAGCGCTCTATATAAATAATCTTTCTGTACATTACACCAATAACACACTGAAGATCAAACAAGTAAATATTACGATTATGTGATCTAAACAGTATCTATAACGTACGTATCTAAACGCATAATAATGTCCAAAATTAGGATATAAAAATAGCTTATACGTTTAGATAACGAGTATTTATATTTCCAATGAAAATGAAAACATTTATATCTTTTGTAGAATTCTTTATTTGTAGATGTGATATTAATTTTATCTGCATTCTCTCTGAATATGAGATAACATAAAAATCAAAACGTCTATCATCTTGATGTCTTAAATTGATTTTTTATTACATATTTTTTATTTTCTCATATCATTTATTATTTTATCTGTCACTGAGAATGATCGTACATTATAGAGATAGAAGTTTGACTTTATTATTAATGTATATATTCATAAAATTTATTTATCCTAACATGATCAATTAGCGTAGCTCATTAACCTTATAAGTTCTTGATTTTTAATCTGTTGAAATTATTATATAATCTTTAAATTATTTCTTCTTGCTTAATGTAAAAACAAAAATTATATCAGAAATAATAAATTAAATAATTAGAAATATGGTTTTGTACAATTCTACTGATTAAATTAATATTTGGTCATAAACTAGATTGCAAAGTATATTCGTCAATTAAATATTGGAAGGATACAGCCAGATACTTTGGAGCTTTAATCATCCATACAGCACAGAAAGATTGCAGAATGATTTCACTGAAACATTGCAATATTGCATAGTGGTTGCGAAACGTTGCTGAATTATTGTTGCAAAATTCTAATAATGTTAAGATATTTTTAACATTATTGTTAACGCTTTTTGTTATATTGCAACAAAATGTTCTAGCAATATTGCAATGTAATATATTTGGATAAATTTTTTACTGAAGACTCTCTAAAATAAAAATTATTTCTACATATCTCATTAACTTTAATCTTTCTACAAATCGCATTTCTAGTGATATGTGCTTTCCAAAAGTAATTTTTTGTGATAAAACCATAAAATATTCCAATAAATATAGTATTAATTCTGAAGGATAAATTTATTCGTAAGGATAAAACATGTATGTGTGTATCCCGAGCAAACTACACAAATATTATCCACATTAATATAATAATACAATCGCTCAGTAAATTAATCATGGATTAAGTTAATCGCAGTGATTCTTTTTAATTCGAAACCACTCCGAGTTAATTGAAATCGATTAAAAAATGAATGTGAAATTTATCAATAAAGTTCGGGCGCTGGTTTATTTTTGCGTTCACATCAGGCATAAATACATCATCGATCACATAATTAATATTTCGATAAATCGTTTTCAGTAGTTTAATTGCTTATCATCTTATCCGATAATGATGCATTGTATCCAAACTCGATATTATACAATCTTTTGATTTCATATTTAAAATAAATATAAAATTTAGTTAATGAAATGGCCGTCAATAAATTTTTTATTTAAATATAAAATGAATTATATTAATTATATTATATCATAAAAACGACTGTTAAATTAAAAGAGTGTATTACATAAATATTGTAAAAACTTATATTTTTATATTATTATTGTTGTAACAATTAAGAAATTATAATTTTGCAATGTGGAATATTACAAGCATATTACTAACATTTTGCAGGCATATTGTTAATTTACATTTCTGTAATACAATGTTACACTCTGCAAAGTTACATTGCAATATTTCATTCTTATTGTTTATCAAATGTTAAATAAGAAGAAATGATATTGGATCTATTTGTATGCATATAATTTGCACGTAATAAGATCAGGAGAATAGAACAAGAAAAATATGATAACAAACGTAACGTTGGAGTACAACGTTCAAATTTAATAGTATATTTCCGTTCTTGTCACATGACTCACATTTAAATCGTCACTTCCGAGGAGAAGAAACATTGAAAATTTCCCCAATCTTTTTCTGAGAATTCCCCAGAATTTTCAGGAGAAGCCTGAACTACCTGTAGCAGTCTGTTTCTAGTGAATGTAAAGCAAAATAAAAGTGTATCGAATAGAAATCTTAGAATAGAAAAGAGATCCGTGAACAATCATTGACATAATGTATGCTAATTACACAAAAAATCGTCAGAAAGCAAATCGTCAATGATGAATTGTTGCAACAAAGCATTCCATCAAATATCGTATTGCAAAGTAACGATATTGTTGTAGCTACAACTGTGACAACATCAATTTCGTTAGAATAGTATAAAACGCAGTAGATTATATTTCTATAAATATTTGTTTAAATAAAAAAAAAAAGAATAAGAGGAAATAAAAATGACAATTGATTTGTCGACTGTGCCGCTTGTTGCAGCCACTGTTGCGAGCAGACAAGTTATCGCAACAATGTTAAATCCTGTGAAGGTTTTACCAAGCGATAACGGTTTGCCAAGGTATGCTATCGTTCGTGATTTTAATAGGTATAAATATGCATTTTCGAAAATGTCATGTGTTAACTAATTTTTAAATAAATTACAAGGGATTGGAGAGGTTTGGCGCATCAGTTAGAATTCAACTCAAAATTCGTGTCAATGCTTGTGTCACATTCTGATCCAACAATGCGCATATTCACAGAGTTGACAGACAAAAATAAAAAAGATTTTACAATAAAAGATTTTCAAGCAATGATGGAACAGATGGATAGATGGGACATTATTGATGACACTGAAGCTTTGTTCCGTATGTATTATATTAAATAGAACAAAAACTTGTTTTTTGATATTCATTAGTTTGATAAAAAAATATATATAAATATTAGGTGTTGGAATTAATTCGTAGCGTTTTTAAATGAAAGAATGTTATTTATTTCACATGAGCATTAAAAAATACATTAATGAAAGTACTTCCCATCACTTGTAAAACGCTACGAATTAATTCCAACACCTAATATATAAGAATGAAAAACTTCAATAATAATAATTATCGTTAAAAGATTTTTTTATTGTTGTAGAAAGTGATGCTGAGAAGTATTTGGAGCATCAACAAAGAGCTCAAGTGTCAGCAGATCCGATGGACGAATGTACCGATAAAAAAATACTTACTTTAGGTTTGTAATGGTTCAGTGACTTTAATTTAAATTATTTTGTGCAATATATAATAGACTTCAGTCATGTACATAATTATATTAAACGACATAATATTTGTATGTTTTTTATAGATGATATTCACAGATTAAAGCAAGGTTTAGCACCGCAATATTACGATGCATTTCTTTTATATGCAGAAGAAGATATTGTTTTTGTGAAGGAGATGATTGAGAAGCTTGAGATACAATTTAAGCTAAAGGTATTGCAAATAAATGAAATTTATGCGTGATTTCTTTCTTACATAAGTTTAAATAAAATTAAACTGCGTTATTGCTTTCAGTTGTGTTTGAAAGATCGAGATTTGGTAGCTGGTTTAGAATTCGAACATGAAGCAGTAATGGAGTTAATATCGGAACGATGTAATAGATTACTCATTATAGTATCACCGAATTTAATGACACACTCAGCAAACAAATTTTTTTTAAACTATACTCAAGCTTTAAGTATCGGTATGTTTTCATATATCATATTTCTTTTGAAATGCAATTGAAACGATATTTTGAGTATTCTTTTCTGAAAGATCGTATTTTTCTTTAGAAAAGCGACAAAGAAAAATTATACCATGTATATATAAAAGCTGTGATTTGCCATTTCAACTGAAATATATATTTAATTTGGATTATAATCGTAAAGGATTATTTGATTTTTGGGGCAGATTACGTGATTCTATACAAACTTCAAATTCTACTGCTACAAGGTAACATAATTCTTGTGTTCATTTTTATTTTATTTTAAGAATCTAAATGATATCATTATTAATTTTATAGCAGTTCAACTCAAATAGGAAATAGTAGTATAACGCAAGAGACTACAGAAATAAAGAAAACTTTCTCCGATAAGTACATTGACGAACCTTACATTACTCAAAAAACAAGTGAAGCATTAATATTTCCACAACAGAAGAGTGAAAATTGTAAAGATGAAGTTATCGCAAAAGCAATAAGTGATATAGAAACTTTAAATGTTAATAATAAAAAGAACAAGACGTTATTACGATGGGAAAATATTACTTCAAATTTTAAGACGAAGCAAACTAAGAAAAGTGATCAGTTAACTACAGAAGCAATTGTTCAAAATCTACCATCGGTGGATAACTTAGATAGCTTAGATTTATCAAGTACTCACGTATATGAGAAAAAGAAGAAAAATTTATTTAGCAAGTTCATAAAGAAAAAAATTCTCGTGAAGACTTGATGACAATCTTTATACAAAGAATATATATAAAAATCATATATATTTTTGTATGTGCAGAAATACATTTAAATGTTTACAATTTAATAGATTTATGAAGATATACACTCAAAATGAGTTTTACATATAACAATTGTACATGTGTGTTGCCAGAAGAATAAAGTGTAAAGAATATTACGGATGAACGATATAATATGTATTTATTATTTTTGAAATTATTGATCTAAATAAGATGTATTATTGGACTTAACTATTGAAATTAATTGTTATATAAAAAATTCAAAAAATTATATATGTAAATTATAAGATAATGTAAATATACATATATACATGTTATACAATATGAGATTAATATATATATGTATATACACACATATATATATATATGTATATATATATATATATATAATATATTAATTAACGTATATACATTTTATATATTGTATAATAAATATATTATTATATTAAAAATATAAGTATGTATTTATTTTTATTCCCATTGTCAGCTAGTATTTGGCTTGTCAGACCAATTAGATTTAGAGTATTTGAACAGAGAGAAACCTGAGAGAGGACATGAGAACCTTTTTCTTGTAACCGCAAAATGCCCTCGCACACTACTATCCTCTAAAGAAGTAGATGCAAATTACAATATCCATTTTTTTCGGTGCTTCTGATGAAAATTAATCATTAAAATTGTTGAAATCTTTATTAATTAATAAATTTTCTGGTGAAATTAAAATTTCTATATATTTTTATAACTTTCTCACATTTTTTTACGAATTGGAACATTTCTCAGAAAATCTTTTTTCTCAGGATTTTTTATATATATTAATTATGAAATATTGTAAGATTTCTAAGATTTTTTGTAAGTATAATTTCTGATGAAATGTTATAAAATCTAAAAAATTTAAAAATATTTCTTAAAAATTGAGATGAGAAATTTCCGAATATTTCAGAATTCACTTGTATGAAAAATTCTGAGAGAAGATGTAAACTGTCCGAATATTTCTGAGTATTTCTGAAATATGTTACAATTCGTAAAAATTATATAAAAATTATGAGAAAAATTTTCATCAAGCTTTACTTCAGCGATTTCAAAGTAACAAGATTCAAAAGTAACAAAAAGCCACAATACATTTATCTTTTGTTAAAAATATTGCGTATGTGTAATACATTGCGTGTATTACTAGCTTGCACAATTAATTATTCATAAATTCATATCGAGATGATAATCATGTATCAACAGATATTTCGTATGATTCATTCGTTTACAATCAAAACGCGATGAAAAACAGAATTTATTACTACTTAGCGATATTTAGAGAATTGAAAGGCATAGAGATATACTCCATGCAATTCTTATAAATGAATAAAAATGCATTCAGGATTGAAAAGCATTCATTTTAACATTCGTGAATCAATATTTCTGAAAATCTGAATCCATTTCAATTCATTTCAATCCATTCTCGTTTGCTGGGTATAACTCTTGATTATTCTTCGAACGGTATTACACGAGTCATAAAAAGCTACGTTAATATCCTCGTCCAAATAACGCAATTTATGCAATTCCTACTTTAACAATTAATATAATTTGCATAATTAACAATATAATTAATTTTTCGTTTTTCTGCATTTTTCGTGATATGATAAAAAATTGAATGTAACTTTGAAACTGTTTATCGGTAATAAAAGAAATATTTTTCTTTTTTATTAATCTCTAGCCCATTTTATTGACTCTAATTATATCTTAAGATATAATAAGAGATTCAGCTCTTTTATAAACTCTGAATTTATTTCGCAATGATGACGAATTGATGTGTTTGATATTCATTTCTAAAAGTTAATCAATAATTGCATAATAATATAGATAATAGCTGTATATTACATTTTTCAGATGATATTTTCCCTCTCACGGGTACACCTTGACGTGGTGAGAGGGCTCAGTACCCGGAGGATACTACACGAAAAGAACGGTTTTTCTCAAGTATCTAAAAATTCTCGGATTTATCTGAATGATATATCTAGATAAATTTTTAGATCTTGAGTAAAATCATTCTTTTCGTTTAAAAATTCAACGGGGAAGCTAACGTACCCTCGTCCGCCGATTTAATTAAAAATGAACGAACCGCAGCCGGTTCGTCGCGTCGCGCGTTTACTTCGGGAGTGCCGTTCAAGTTATCGGACTTAAATTATAGTCCGCGCGTGATTATAGTTATTATTCGCGAGTGTTTTACGCGAGTGTCCTGTGCGAGAGGATGTCAACCCAATTCTGAGAGGAGCAGGAGGTCTGGGAAAGGCATCGGGCACTGGCGGAGCAACCTTGCGGTAAATATCATTTTTTGCTTATATAAAATCAGTATCTTTCTCCTGTTTACTCTTGAGTTGTTTTATTTTACAATGATTTAAAAATGATAATTAGAAGAAAAAGATTATTTAAAATTATTTTGAAATTTGATAAATATTTTTAAGATCTTTTTTATAAAACGTATAATTATGTTTAACTGAATAAATGTCTAACTGAATGATGAAATTAAAAAATTCGATGCGTATATAAAAACTATATATTTTGAAAATTATATGATTATTTTCAAGAGAACTTTGCGTTTAGTAAATATTTTTTAAATATATAAAAATTAAATTTATATGATTTTCTTTTGCTCTGTTTTAATTGAGATTTTATTTTCTTTTTGTTACAGAATCATCGTAGCGACATTGCAGATGTAACTCCGCTGTTGCGCGTCGAGTTGGTGAGTAATGAATTAATTTTTTTATTGAGGTAACAGATGTATGGTAATTTCATTAATATACTATATATCTAGATGCATATATGCGTCAATTTAATAAAAAACGGATAAATGTATCAATATATGTATAAAATTCCATGCATCCGTTATCATCTTAAAATGGATAAATTATAACAGATTAGGATAAACTTAATCCTGGATGCCTCTTCATTTTGAAATTTATTATGCATGCACTGTTAAATGTATAATACGTTACATCCGGTTTGAATTATTTTTAATCGTTTTTATAAATCGCCACTGCTTTCATTCAATATCTCGTTAATTTAACTAAAACAATATAATAAGTATGGATAGGTAGGGATTGTATAGGTAGGATGATAAGTATGGATAGATTATAGGAATAAACACATCGTATGTATATACTCTCTCTCTCTCTTGATAATTGAAAAACAGAGAATTTTTAATTAATTTTAAGTTTTATTTAATTATTAGCGTTCCGTTCCAATTATTAAATATAAAAATAAACCAAATTAATTCCAAATTTTATTGAATTTTCAGCTACTCTGAAATTAAATTTTTTAAAATTCTATACACACTGTTAGAAATGTAAATGAAGCTCGTGGATTAAATTAAAAGTAATGAATGATTAAACTGAAAATTAAGTTACAGTAGTTACTTAAATGAAATGAACGTGTACATAAATTTATGAAATTTAATGTAATTTTAGTAAAATTAATGAAAAATACATTAAATTTCATAAATTTTCTTGAAAAATACATTAAATTTTATGTACATATACACAAATATACTTTTTATAAATACATTAAATTTAATGTAATGTCATGAAATTAAATTCAAATTGTGTAACTTAAAAGTTAATAAAATTTAAGAACATTTCTAATAGTGCACGTACAAATTTTATAATGCGTTAATATGTAATTAGTTTTATTGTAAATGTATAATAGTATTAGGTATATATACGTAATATAAAATTTAAACAAACTATGTCCAGATATATGCTATCATACTTTTGCAATTTGCACAACAATTACTAATAAATTATATATTTATTGAAATATATATATATATATATACAGATAATATTTATCTCGTCGTAGTAAATCAAATTGTTGCATAATTGATTTAATTATACGAAATCGACGAAATATATTAATAACATATATTAACAAAAATTGTTTATTAATTTAATAAGTTTCATAAATATTTAATTTTGAAACTTTTTTTAATTTTTTGGATTTTATTCTAAATATCAAAAAGTCATTAATAATTTTAAATTACTTATAATTAGCGAATACAATAAAATAATTAGACATAAAAATAAAAAAAAAATTTTAAATATTCTTACTTGCAAAAACGGACTATTAAATTTATTATTAGATGGGGGGAGGCTTTTAGTTCGTTTTTGTTAAATTAAATTAATGATATATGATTGGAGAAGTTTAAAGTGTATTCAAAGTCTTTATAATTTTGTTAGTAATTATAGAAACTGTGGAATATACTTACATACTAGTAATTATATTTGGTAAAAACGAGTTGAAAATCGCGTAAAAGAACATGCCTTCGCAATTCCATTTTAACGTGAAAAGAAAAAGAGAAAAGATAAAATGTGTAAGAAGTTTAGTTAAAAAGAAACATAGATACTAATACATATTTAAAATAATTACATTATTGAGATATCATTATGATGATCAGTTCATCGTAATTATTTATTTTTATAATCACAGAATCTTATCTGCAGTTTTTTAATGATCTATTTACTTAAGAATATCGATGATATAATTTCTTTTTATCAATTGATCGTAACGTTTTGAAAGACACTCCAGTTTTTCATTTGACGGTACAATATTCTTAATTTTATCATTACTATCCGTCAATTAATGAATTTGTGCAACAGTTACTCACTACTGGTTGTCATCAGTTGACGCATTCCGGTTTGGCAGCGACGCCTCGAGATGGCGATACTGTCGCGCGAACTCCCGCGTGGCGTCGCTCCCGTACGCGCCTGATCGGTAGCGATCGTGGAATGGGATTCCAATATGGCAACCGTCGTGTTAGCCGCACAAGTCAGTGTCGCGGAAATGTTTTGAACTCGCTGAGCAGGCAACCGCGACGACCGGCCGACGTGCGACACATAGGTTAGTAAGGCGATGCGTAAATGTGCCGGCTGCGATACGCGGTCGGTCGATCGGCGCGTGTCACGTAAAAGCTCCGCGAATCCGGGCCGCCCTCGCGAGGACGGTCGCGCGCGTTTTCTCCGCTGTCGCGCGCGCGGTTCCGCGTTTAATAAGCTTTCCGCGGGCACGGGACCGACCCGACGTCACGGATGTCATCGCTGTCCCGTGGACCGCACGAGGATTCGACGCGCGCGTCGAGTCACGTACTCCGTAACGCGCGACGCCGCATCGTGCCGCGTCCGGATACGTATTGTGTACGTTTATGACGATGTGCGAGTATCTCTCTCTGTCATTCGCGCCGATCGTCCGTAAATTATCCGTCTATCCTTTTCTCTCACCCTCGCGTCGCCCCCTCTCGTCGCGAACGCATCGTCTTCGCGCGTCAGGTGTGCGACTGCTGCTGTCGTCGGTACTCCTCTATAGGTGCGTGTGTGCATGCATCTCTCTGTGCGTCCGTGTGTGTTTGTATGTGTGTGCCGTGCGTGGCTGGGTGGCAGCGTGAATGTACGAATTTGTTTTGGAAATGTCGCTCACGTCTGTCCTCACTGTCCCCTCTTCCCTCATACCCCCGGCTTTTTCCTACGTGTCTCTCCTGTCATGTGTCACGCGGTTGACTGTCGCCGCGTATGCATGCGTGCGTGGGTGCGTGTTTGGGCATCAAGAATCCGTTCTTCGCTGGTGGTCCACGACGTCGTCTTCCGCCTGCCTTCCACATCGTGCCACGACGATGTGTTTCCTGAGACGTACCGTCGGGATCATGTCACAGATACTCATCATGACACCTGGACCCAGCGACGTTCGGTGAGTTCATCTTGACTTTCCTTTTATCGGCTTACTTTCGGAGTATCGAGTGTCCTCGCGAAAGATGAAAAAACAGGTTTTTTTACTTCGAAGAAAAACGGGTTTATTGCGATAAAAATCCGCTTTTTAATTAAAATAATGTGGAATTCATGTTAAATATGTAAAAAAAGATATAAAATTTATTTTTTTTGATAGTCATAATTAAAATGCTTGCTGTGACGACATTATTTGATATTTCTTTGTTTTTATGATTTCAAATCGAAGAGGAAACATTCTTACATTATTATAATATATAATAAGTTGATATTTTTTACCGACTATGGATTAAGTACTATTGCTTATAATTATTTGAATGACAAATATTTTATATTTTATTCCATATTTTATTCAATTTTGAAAGCTAAATAAGCAATCGCTCAGCATGTTGTTTATTAACACAGATACCTTATTAGCATAAGTAATATCGTTTTGTTGTGTGTATTAGTTATAATTATGTATGTTCTAAATTTTAATTAAAGCAATATAGTATCAATTCAAAAGTAGTTGGAGATAGTTCGATTCGATGAAACGTTGTTTCATTAATTTACATTTTAGAAATAATATGTAATACAATTGCAAATGCATAACAAAAGTAGCGTCAATTATTCTAATAAGGTATTATTTGTATTAACAATAGTATGAAACATTTAACTTTTAAAATTGGAGTACGGTATAAAATATCATTTGAATAATTATAAATGATATTTATATCAATGACCACTGCCAATTAATCAATTGTACCACATTTTGATTTTTATACCTATCTTTTCATAGAAATTTTTTGGATAAATGTAAAACTGAATTCTAGGACAATAGTGCAGTGCCAAAATCGTCAAAAAATATGTTTTCAAATAAAAAACTTCCAGGTTTTAAGGAAAAAGCTTTTCTGAGTTTTATTCCATGTTTTTAGTTTTTTTTTTATCATTTTTATCTCTACTCGTGACAGGTGTCTTCAGCGAGCACGAGATATGGTTCGAGATCACCTCTGATTGCAAAGACTAAACTTTTGTTTCTTAAACAATTTTATATTACGTGAAAATCGATCGAGATTAAACACACATGAACGAAAAATGTCATATTCGATCAAGGCGATTCTTTGTGGCTAATAATATTTTTTATGAATTTATTTATGGACAATTTCCAGTTCAAGCAAACGGTGCGTTAACAGCTTTCTAAGATGCTCATGTGTATCAATAATGTTAAATTGTTTGTCAATTTAATCTGTGATATTATTATTCCAATTTCCATTTAGGATTTGTTTCAAATCCGACAAATAATAGATGCACAGTTTGCTTGAATTGGTAATTGTATAAATTAACAAGAAATATTAAACATAAAGAACCATCTTGACTGAACCATCTTGAATATGCATTTTTTACTCATACGTATTTCATTTCTTAAATTTTAACAATTTGAAGTCAATGTTTGAAGAAAAATTGACTGTTATATTAGAGGGAATATCTTTCAAAACTATTAAGTACTTTTCATGATTTTTCATGATAAGATCAACTTCTTTTAAATAAAAATATCGCTTATAATAGATTGTTATCATTAAAACTTATTAATTTTTCGATTTTAAAAAAATCTAAATTTTTAAAAATGAAAATAGGATGGTCATTAAAACTTAATTTTTATGTTATATTTCTTGACTACTAATGATTAAATTGAAATTCTGTTAAACTAAATTGAAGTAGCTGATTAGTCCCCCCCCCTGAGATTAGCTGAAGAATGCTGCAATTTTGTAGGTTGAAATCTAATTTCTAAAAAATTAGATTTTATTTTTCGAATCTTTAAAATTGAAGAGTTATATTGATGTTTCAATAGTTCTAAAGGAAAAAATCGGTTTCAAGTTAGCTATAGGAATTTTTGTAAGAACGTTTGATGATTTTGATATAGTTTGTTTATTATTTTCTAATAATTATAATAATAGACAGAGATAACATAACAAAATTTTTATCTTATAATCTATGATTATTTATAAACGATAAATATTATTACGTTGGATTTTAAAGAGTTAATTTCTCCTTGTTAAATACACTGTTTCGACTTGTTATTTCACATATCTATTAAACCTTTCCGAAATAGATATAGAATTTTTTAATCTTTCTAAAGTACTTAGCTAACAACGTTTATTATAAAATTCTATTATATAATTCTCTGTCTTTCAAATATTGATGAAAATATTTGAAGCGATTTTGAAATTGCTCATTGCGTTTACAGATACATTCTGGAATGGTAAATATGTCAGGAAATATGAATAGTAGAAATGCTACCTTATATTTTGAATTTTAATATTATTTTTATCATTACGTCAATCCTTATTTCGCGATTACGTGCTCAATCATGAATTTCTGTTTTTCGATATCGTTGAAATATCGCTGACATTTAATTATGTTACAATTAATTATGTTGAGATGCCGCAGACAACGTGAGTAATGAACGGTTTATTTCGAAGAGTTGTCGTTATATTTTCATTTGTATTGGATTCTGCTCCATTCCGAGTATTACTCCGAATTGTATTGCTTCAAGTTTAATTCCGTTTCTCTAATCCAAGATTCTATATTTCTGTTCTATCAGCTCAGATTTCGCTTCTATTCTTTTGACAATCCTTTTCGATTAATCAACTCGCTGTTTGTAAAAGGGTTATATATAAAAGGGGTGGATGTATATAAAAATTTACGACAAGTTTAATATATATCTCGTACACGCATTACTATCATGGAATTTTTACAGCATGGAATGTAGTGGTTAATAAAAAAAATTTTTTTTATGTATAAAAATATTACTATGAGATACTTGCTGCGAACGTTGTTTTGCAGATTTTTATGTTATGTTATAATTAATAATAATTAAGTTATTAATTTATTATCATGAATATACGAATGCTATATATACTATTTTTTTAATTACTTGAAAATTATTTTTTTAGTTACTTGAATTCTATGCCAATTACGTTGCTTTATAAAGACGGATTAAAAATAGCAATTACATTATTTTACTTAATTTTTTTAATGTATGTCTTTTATGCAACCTTTGAAATCGAATGTAATAAATTATATTTAATTGATTTTATAATAGCAATTTACAAATATTTTATCATATTTTTTATTTATATAAGATACTAAAAAAGGATTTAGAAAACGAATAATTTTAAAGTATTCAGTAATTATTAAATTGAATAAAAGATATTAAATTAACACAAATTAAAAAATTAATGTTATAGATAAAATATTTTGATTGATTAGTAATGCAATTCCTTTTATTACATATAACTATATGATTTTGTTACATAAATTAATTTTTGAAATTGTATAAAAGTATCAAAATATTAAAAAGCGAATATTTTATGTGGAACATTTCATATTTAAAATATTTCGATATGAAATGTAAAATATCTTTATAACTAATCACTTTTTGATGAGTTTGATATTTTCACATGTGCAATGAAAAGATTTATACAAAAAAGTCGTATAATTCCATACATATTTATGAAATTAATTATATTACAAAAAAACAAATTGTTTAAATCTTTTGTATCATTAATTCTTGATTTATTTTATTAGACAAATTTTTACTTAATTGGTTACTATTTACTCTCAGAATCTTAAATATTCTTTAACAAGAAATCATATCCGGAAAGAATTTTCTTTAGATAAGCTTTTGGAGTCAAAATATTTTGATATTTAATTTGTCAGAAATTATCAGTTAATTACATTTTACGTAGCGGAAATACCATTTTATTTACCTCAGCGATAATTATAATAGCTTCCGGTTATTTTTGATACGTATTTACATAGAAGTTCAGATATGATTTCTTGACACTCGCTTGATTACGCGTATTTCATCGTATACCGCATTTTATCACAATCCTTGAACATGATATCTAGAGTTTTTTTTCCAGTGTGTTTGTGATATAAAGTTACAATTACGCGACATATTCGTTTCAAGCTCATGTATCAATATAAAATGATTATAACACTTGTATACTTATTGTGAAGGAATTTCTAGTCGTGATTTTTAAATCTCGACTATATCGTGAGTTATAAATGATGTATAATATGTGTCTTAATTTTTAAATATATTAAATAACATTTACTTATGCATATGAAATAATGATTTATTCAGTTAATTGGATATTAGGATTAAAAGCTAATTTAAAAAAAAATTTTACTTGTGTGACAACTTAAAATATATTAAAAAACGCGTAATTGTTTTCTTATAGTTATAATTATACGATAAGATCGAAATTATTTTTTGAAGAATTGATTAGAAGATTGTTTGATTGTTTTAATTGCCAAAACTAAACTTTACTAATAATTGATTAATTACATAATCAAGTTTCTTATTAAATTTGTATTGAAACGAGGTCTATATGAAACTAATTTAAAAATTTCTGTTATATAAATTATCATATAACTCTTCAGAAATATTCTAAAAAATAATTTTTCTGTCACATAAATTTATACTTTTTGACAAATTACATTAATTTTGTTAGTACAAAATTGAATTCATATTTATATATGCAATGAAAAAATGAGAGGAGGGGGGAGAGAGAGAGAGAGAGAGAGAGAGAGAGAGAGAGAGATCATAATTTTTTAAATAAATCATCCGTTAGACTTTGATTTTAATATTTTGAGTAAACATTTGTTTTAAATTAGAATGAATTTCAGTAATAGAATAAACATATAATATATAGTAAATATTAACAGGTAAATATGACGTCTACATTTAATTAAATATCATCATAAAGATGGTTACCAGATAGTAAACAGCATAAGAATGGGTCGAATGTAATTCTGACACGATATTTTCTCTCACGTATTTATTACGGAGGATATATGTGCAGCTCACTAAATTTTGTTTACTAATAAATCTTGCTGACCATAAACAAAGTAACAGACCTCGACGACTAAAGACTACAAAAATGTAGAATCTTGGGAATAACTTGTCTCAAATCTTAT